TTTTATTTTTATTTTTATTTTTATGTATTTATTTAACTCTTTGTATATATATTTGCCGTAATTCTGCCCCAGAGGATGCTTTTATGCCAATTATTTTCATCAGGGCATTTCACACCAATAAAAGGGTCCTCACTAGCTAAACAGACTATGTATGGGAAAGCAAGTTGCTGTTGGGAGCTGAAAAGGATTTAGTGCTCCAAAAGCCCCCAGAAGAGGCCCAAAAGCAGCTGCGAGCCCGGCAGTGGTGAGAGAAGGAGGCTGCCAGCGAGGAAGGCATGCACCGGGTTTGATAAGGAAGGAATAATAACAATAACCTTTTGGAGGGCCCGGGCTGAGCCTGCCCGTGTTTACACACAGGCAAAAACTTTCTGAGCTGGAAGCACAGCCTTTTCTGCTGCTCCAGCCCCGCTCGGCCATGGCTGCTCTCGCATTTCCCTCAATCTGGGCGCTTTGGAGAAAGCTTTTGTGTTGCCAAAGCCATTGACTGTATCTTGGTTGTTCCAGCCTGGCTGTAGGACAGACCCTGAGCTGTCAAAAACGCACCTGATGCTTGATTAGATCTCCTGCTCTTGACACAGCGAGTGGTGCTGATTAGATAAACAGCTGCCAAAAAAAAAAGAATAAAGGCAACCCTGGCTCCTTGTCCCACTCCACGGAGCAAAGGAAGCCTCCAGGGGAGCTTCCCCTGGGCCCACAGCAGCCAAAGTAATTTCATCTTCCTGCATCTGTTCTCCTTGCAGCCAGGCTGTGGAGGTCAGAGCAACCCAAACTACAGCAAAACTGGCAGTGGTGGTATTCAGTGCCCCCCAAAAAGTACCCAGTCTGGGTAAACGAGGACGAGGCATCTCAGTGAGGAGGGGACAGGGGCAGTAAAGGGACTTGGTCCCAAATCTCCTGCTTTCAGGGGAGCTTGAGCATCTCTGCAGGAACAGGCACTAACGGGCTAAAGGAACCATTGCTGGTTATTGCACAGTGGAAGTCTTAATCTTCGTCATCTCCACCTTCATCTTCATGCACACCCACACACCCACCCCCCCGGTGTCAGGTCTGACCCAGCCCTGCTGATCACTCCCTGAGACTGGAGCCTCATTTATTTATCCAGGAATTAACTGGGCATCTTAAACATCAGCAAATCAAACAAACGAGGTTTAATAATGAGCTGTGCGTCACTTGTCCTGCCAGCATGTGTGTTGAAAGACACGGAAAAACGCGTGCAGAACGAGCCGCAGTCTTTGCTCACAGCATTTCTGCTGGGAAACGGCCTCGCACCGAGGCGTTGTCCTCTCCCAGTGGGACAAACACGCTGCTCTGCCAAGGACACAACGCAGAAGATGCATTTTAATACTCTTTTTTTTTTTTTTTTCTTTTCCCCAACTATGATTATTTACAATGAGATTTGGGAGAAGCAATTCACACCGAAACAAGCAAAACCTGAAACATTTTTCACCGTGTTTAAATGACTCTTGCAGCCACGCAAACAGCCCCAGATAATGATGGACGTCGCTGTCATTCCTTTAAGCACTGTACCAATAAAAAAAAAATGCAAAAAAAAAAAATCACTAGATCAGCTTCAAGGGCCATTTTTGTCCTGATTTCGGATGTGGCACTGGACTTGCACGACAGCAGCTTTGGCCTCCCTACAAACATCAAATGTTCTCCATCACCTCGAGTGATCAGTCGCTGGCTCTGCTTCGTCATGCACTGTCCCCAGTCCCTGATGTGAAGAGACCAGGGAAGATTTTTACTCAAAAACAACTACTTGTGTACTAGCAGGATTAAAAAAAAGCAAGTTTGAGGTCTATTTGCATTTAACCCTTCAATTCCACGTGGAGAGTTTAGCACAGAGCTTCAGCAAATTCTGCTGGGGTAGGAAATACTAAAGGAGACCTAAAGGTTAAGAAGACAGATTAAATGCCTGGTGTTCTTAAAAGAAGAAGAAATCCTGCACTTAAATGTAAAGATGAGATAAGAAAACAACTCTGTTAACCAAAACCATCTGAAACCTGAGAGGTTTTTGTCACTGAAATCCCAATTTAACTATTTTAATCAGCCTAACACGCTGCCACCAAAAATTTAGGCTGCTTGGATTCTGGCTCAAGGCTTCTGCGGCTTCTGCCTCTGCTCGAAAGCTGTTGGGGGCTAAGGGCACTTGCATTTCTCATTATGTTCCTCCAACATCAAAAGCAGAGAACAGCTGTGGAAAAATGTCCTGTGTGGTCAGTGGGAGGAGAAGCAGGTCTTTGGCAGCTCTTAATGTGCTTTAGGCTGATTCTTCACAGAAAAAAGAAAAAGAATTTTAAAAAAAGATCTACAATTCCCTAACAGTCCATAGAAAACCCTTTCTTTCCACTGCCCTCCTCAGTCCTGGTGCAGGTGCCCTTCTCTGTTCACATTTCGGAGTTGGCAGGGCTGTGCTGCCGGCCCGAGTGGCCGTTTTTGGAGGAGGCCTGGCCGGTGCCATTCTCCTGAGTCCCACCGTTGAGATTTGGCTTCTCCTGCAGCTCAGGGTGCTCTTGGGGAGCCGTCATCAGCATCGTGTTGCCCTGGCTGCCGTTTTCCGTGTAATACGGGTCTTCAGCCTAAACAGGGACATAAATTACAGAGTTAGGGAAGGGAAAGGGCTGACGGCGACCGAGTTTCCTGCACGGGAGCTACAAACAACCCAGGCATGGGAACCTGCTCCTATGGACGAGAAGGGGAACAGGGGCCCTGAACAACGCTGGGGCAAGATGAAGCAAGAAAACCAGCCAGGAACTGCCTTGTTTCCTCCCAGACCTGAAAAGAGAAGCCATTAGGTTTTGTTGTTTCCTCATACCCAGGTTGCAGACCACCTCTGTTTTCCACTTTCAGCACCACTGAATGAAAACTATGGACACTGCCTTTTTCTTTCCCCATCCTTTCTTTTGGTCTGTAAATAGACAAGCTTGCAGCAAGGTCCAGCAAACACAAAACCATGCTGTGGCTTCTTACCACTACTGCTATGAGGAGCAGATGCCTCTGAAGGACTCAGAGCAATAGCAGAGCTGCCTCCATCCCTCACCATGATAACTCCTCATGTGCTGGACCAGGTCTGGTAGCCATGCATGGGAGCTGCTGGTCCCAGGCTGTGGGTGCAGATTGCCAGCTGGCAACAGACTCCACTCCTGGTTTGCTGAGTGGCATCCAGCACACATGGTCGGCTGTGGAGCATCCCACCCCATCGTTTTTCTGGACACCCTAGAAACTGGGCTGACACTGCTGTGCATTTCCATGGGCAGCTCCCAGCCATACATTTACATTGGATTTCACTTACAGCCAGCACCAGGAGATGGTACCCAGAGGCAGGGGGCTGTGATGTCCCTGTCTCCGACACCTGCACTTGACTCCCCATCTGCACGCTTTGAGAGCATCCTTTCTGGCAATGAAATAACCTAATGCTTCCCTGGACACAACTGTTCCCCAATCACGACCAACGATGGGGGAAAAGCATGGCGCATCCTCGCCTTCCAGAGGGCTCACATCCCCAGAAATCACTGGGCAGGGAAGGGTCCTCCACAGTCAGCCTGCCTGGAAAGGGGAAAATGGAAATAGGAAGTTTTTTTCTCTTTCTTTCTTGATATATTTTATTACCATAGCTTGTTAAGTGAGGGGAGAAATAGCCTTTATTACAGCATCAGTACAAGACAGACATATAACTCAAACACAGTGAATGGAAAGTTAAAGTGTGTCACTTTTAATGACAAATTCATAAGATTTCAATGTCTCTGGAGGGGTCTTGCTGGAGGAGTTCTTACAGCTGAGCAAAAAGAAGTGTTAGACCTAGCAGTATTAGCAGGAAAGGGGCCAGGAGCAAGAGGTAATTTTAGAAGGCAAGAGAGGTTTCCCTTCACCCTGGTCTGGTCTCCCTGCTCCTGCCCAGGCTGACTTGGTCCCAGGTTACAACGCCCCTGGTGCCAGATGAGGGGCCCCATCCTCTCCCTGCCAGGCCCCCATCACCGCTCCAGTACTGCCCGGCTCCACTTTGTCACCCATTTTGCCATTGGTGAGCACTGTCCGGCTGCTCTCCCGCCCACTCTGCCACCGGTACGCACTGACCAGCCGCTCGCCCGCCGGGCTCCAGCTCCGCCGCTTCATCAGGTAGTAGCCGGCCAAGCCCAGGAAGGCCAGCAGCAGCCCAGATGTGACCAAGGCGATCAGCGTCTTCTGAGAAAAGTCCTGGTGGCTCCTCACACTCCCCCTTTTAAGGGATTTTATTCCAAACTGAGGGAAAAAACCCAAAACACCAAGTCTGACAAACAGAAAACATTTGCATCTGCTGCACAGGCACCAGGCGTAAAACACCACTGCTCTTCACCTCCTCATTAAACACCATGCAGACAAAGCTGGGCTTTGCCATCCAAGATCCTGATCTAAAATTCTTTCTCTTGCCACTCAGATAGCTCAATTTTTCCCCAATGGATTTACCCAAGGAATTTACCTTTTCCCAGTGAGACTCCTGGAGCACGTCTGTAGCAGGATCTGCAAGGTTTAAAACAGGAGAGGCACATTACAAAGAGTATCCTGCTGCAGCAAATGCCCACATGGAGGGCATTACCCGGCGGTGTCAATGACACCCGAAGGACCCATCTCCACTGACCTCTCTCGCCGACCAGGATGAGGAGCATGCAGTCATGGTCCACCTCGGATTTAGCGAGCTTAATCTGGCAGGGGGAGGGAACATGGCGGGCGCTATCTTCACATATTGCTCTCCATAACTGCGCTCCCTTCATCTCTAAAAAGTGTTTCTGTGAAATTTTCAAACAAAACCGACTCATTCTCCATCTCAGCTGTGCTGAAGACACTATGAGTAGTATTGTGCAGTCACCCTTCGAGTTTTGGTGGTTTATCTGTGCTGTGCAAAGCTGATCAGGAGCAACACCAAGTGACACAGCCCTGGGCTGGGCATCAGACCTTCCCCTCCCACCTCACCACTGCTTTGGACCCCAGGACCAACACCTAGAGAATGGAGATGCTCAATTCTTGTTTCTTAGCTTAATAAGTTAAAGGAAGATATTATTAGCAACTCTTGCAGATGGCATTTAAACAAAGCTAAAGTTAGGATCTGAATTGCATGGCAAGTCCCTCTGATTTTAGGACTGAAGCAGCCGCCTGAAGAGCCCCATTGTTCCAGAGTCCCAGGCAGGGGCTGGGAAAGGAGGGAAATAACAAAGAAACATTGAGCCTTCCTGTTTAGGAAATGTCTTCAGTGTTTTTGCTAGGCTGCTGATCAAAGGCTAAGCAAAAAAATACAGATTTCTCACATTTTAGACCTGAGCTGTCTCTTGGGTGAAAGAGGAAGAGGAGTGAGGAGCTGCAGCCTTTCCCTTCTGCGGGCCGGTTTCTGTATCAGCTGGGACAGGCTTTCTCCTTGGGTCTATTTTCAGCCACAGAGACAGAGCCCACAGCTGCTAAAAGCCGTTCTCACTTCCCTGACATCCTCCCAGCTGGGGACAGCATCTGTGTCCACCCCCTCCAGACAGGGACGGCTCCACCTGAATCCCATGTCCTCCTCTCCCCAGGAGGTACCCACCAACGTGGGGCTGCCAAAGAGGAGCAAACCCTCTTGTTTTGCAGCTCAGTGCCTTCCCCTCCTTGCCTTAGAATTGCCTCAGTATTGTGCTCTGATGGCCACATCCTCTTAGCATACAAAAATGCAGAAACTTATTCATGGGAGAATAACAAACAATTTTCAGCTGTTTCTATAGAGCTTGGCTTAGGGTGAGAAAGGCCAAGATGGAACAAGAGACCCAAGTGTGTATTTTCCTTTCTCTGCTGTGGAAAGAACTCATCGGAGTGTCAGAATTTCCCTTTGCAATTAGCAGCACCGCGTGCCAGCTTATTGCTCATTTGCTTTGGGAAAGGCCAGCAGGAAAGCACGCTCCTTCCTATCTGCTCTCCTCGCAGACGCTCTTATCTGCTCCCCAGGTTTGGCCTGGGCTGGCTTTTCCCACTCGATGATTTGTTGAGGTGGAGGCACGGCAGAGGTCTGCTACTCCCAGAAAAACAGGGTTGGAAATGAGGCGGTTTGGCATCAATCACAGAATCAATCACAGAATCATTTGGTTGGAAAAGACCTTTAAGATCATTGAGTCCAACCATAACCTGGCCACCACTAAACGATGTCCCTCAGCACCTCATCTCCCCGGCTTTTAAATCCCTCCAGGGATGGTGACTCCACCACTGCCCTGGGCAATGCAATTAGATATGACTTTATAGCCTATTCTGTATGTCACATAAGCGTTAATTTAGGTATGTGCAGGTACATAATGCATGCACAATGTGTATGAATCCCATGCCCAGGAGGTGCCGTTGCCACTAGATGGCATCTGTGGTCAGAGACATCCGCTCCCAGAGGGGTTTCTGTCTGAATTTTTGCTAAAGAGCAGTCCCCATAAACAGGAGCAACTCTAAATGCCACTAAATCACCTATTTGCAGAGAGAAGCCAAGTACGAATTCATTCATCCTAAGTGGTGGCACCGTGGCTGAGCAGCAGAAGTAAATTAATCATTGTCATTTTATACCCAGGGCATTGCCAAGTCCCAGAAGATCCAGCACCATTTACCCTCTGCTGCAGGTTGTACCTCCTGCGGGACAGGTTTCATGCCTCCCACCCATAATAGTGTCTCAGACAGACCCTTTTCTGCCTTTATTCTTTACTTCATTTTTTATGCACAAGGCCAAGGGCAGTTACAGAGAGCCTGGGATTCCCATAGGTGTCGGTGCAGATGGGGACACTGATCCGCCACCCGTGCTCCATCAGGTTCCTGATTTCTTTCCTAGGGCTGTTGGCAAGACAAAAAAAGGCACTCACATTCCCAACGGAGAAGAGGAAGAAGAAGAACAAAGGCAATTTCCTGTTAAACATGGCAGGAGATACTTTAGAAGCGAAACTGAAAAAAAATGAGGTTTTATGCAACCAGGAGGTTGACGTTTCCCTGGGATCCCTTTGGGATCCTTCCAGGACTGCTGTGATCATCCCCTTGGGATCTCTTGGGACTGCTGTGATCATCCCCTTGGCATCTCTTGGGACTGCTGTGATCATCCCCTTGGGATCTCCTGGGGCTGCTGTGATCATCCCCACCTCCATCAGTTTGGCACAGCTCAGATGCTCTGCCCTAGGGATATTGGTGTGAGCTGCCCACCCCAAACCCACCCCAGGTGACCCCATTGCTGCAAGCCTGAGAGCGCTGCAGGAGCCTGCCCTGGGCTGTTTGCTTGCAGCCCCCTCCTCTTGCATGTCTCCCCCTCACCCAGAGACATGGATCTGCACCCCAGGGCTACAACTCACGCAAGTGCTGGACTCATTGAGCTGCAGGCAGATGGCCCCAGTGTCGCTCACTTCTTTGACGTTGTGGCATGTGATGGGCTGGAAGGGACAAAACACAGTATTGGGATCAGGGGACAAATCCAGCCTCCCTGGGGTCCCACAGCCTGCGGTGTCCAGCCACATCCTCACCTTCGGGCTGTCCCCGGCTGTGTGCAGTTGTGTGGTGGCACCTGAGACGTGAGGATGCCCCAAGGTGGCAGGGGAGCTCCTCAGAGCTGACGTGGACCCAGGGGTTTCTGCGGCCGTGCTGGGTGGCGTCTCTGGGCTCTGGGTTGTGAGGACCTCTTGGCTCGTGTGGTCATGCTCCAAGGGGGTGCCCAGCGACAGTGTGGGGGCTTGGGTGGGCTGCGGGCTTGTCTGCTCACCGCTGAGCCCCCTGGAGGTGGGGGTGGATGCCAGGGACCTGGTCACAGCTTCTGTTTTGGAGAAGTGCAATGAAAAGGGTGCATGAGAAAGCTTAAGTCCTCTAAAAGCAGCGCGTGGCATTGCGATGACTGAAGTACAATATTGATTTGTCATAGCCAGCAGTACCAGAACATGTTATTGGCTGGATCAGAAACGTGCATTAGACTTGCTTCAGTTCCCTAATTTTTACATGCACTTTATAATCTGGTTACAGTGGGCTTGTTTCCTGGGCAGACGCAGCCAGGAAGCTGCCCGACCTCCCCTGTGTCCCCCTCATCCCCCCTTGACCCAGCACCTTCAAAGTTGTATGGATTTCCAACAGCACGAAAGAAAGCCCCTGTAGATCTGTGCTTTGCAGCCCTTTGGAGCTGTTCAGAAAGGCCACCAGACCTCTTACGGGTGCCATTTGCTGAGCAAAGAGTGGGTATGAGGAGATGAAAGATTAATGAACATTTTGTCCCCTCACCTGTTGGCTCTATGAAAAGGGTGGGTCTAAGCCAGCAGGGCTGGCTGCCCCAGGTGGGATTTTCTGGCTGGGATTAAAGCTTTTGACGATACCATCAGGGTTTTTCTTTTTTTGAGAGCACAACCCATGTGCCAACTGTGCAGTTTCTTAGGGCAAACACTTAATAAATCGATTATTAATACAAATACTACTGGGAATGCTGGGGGGAGACATTACCGGACGTCTCTGGCGTCGGCTGGGCACTGCTGGGATCTCTGGGGCCTCTGGTGGCTGCAGCGCTGCTGGCGCCTTCCTTGTCCGTGGCTGCGGCCGTTGGTGTGGGGGCATCTGTGGAGCTCCCCGAGGCTCTGCCTGGGGGCAGAAGAAGGCATTAGGGGCTGCCGTGTCGCTGCAGCTCTGAGCCCCTGCTGAGGGTTCCTGTAGGCAGGGTTGGGAGGAGTCTGCTGCTTTCACTAATTCCCTTTCTTCTTGCCCCAAAATGGCATGCTGCCCTGGAACTCCTATGGGAAAAGCTCAGAGACCAAACATTTCATCTGGGGGATGACGGGCTCATTTCTGCCCTCATCTCGCCCAATCCTCCGGCTTACCGGGGGATGCACAGAGCTCTGCACAATGCTGGATTTCAGAGTACTTTGGGTTTCTAATCCTTGGAGGAAAGACTCAGGCCTTGGAAGAGATCACTTGTGCGCCTCAGGAAAAATAAGTTGGCTTTGCAGTTGCAGGCACAATCTCAAAGTAAATAGAAACATTCCCATTGGCCCACGATCAGCTCTGACTCATGAGCAAAAACAACTTTGGAGGTAAAACAGAATGTTTGGAGAACGGTTTGCTGTTCTAACGTAAAGTTTATATATTGCTTCCTGCTATGTTACAGAGATGATACTTCAGCTTTTCCTTCTGAAATTAACTATATGAGTCAGTGTAAATGCATTTCTTCCCATTTCTTAACCTTTTCCTTTCTTAAGATCTATTTTCACTTCTTACAACCAAGGCTGTTGCTGTTTAAGATTCTTATCCAGACACTACTGAGAAAATAATACAAAATACGTTGTTCCATTTGTATTTCTGCCCAGGGGAGCCCAAGCTCCAAGAAGAGTTACTTCATCCTCCCAAACAGCCCTTGGAGATGGAGCAGCACTGACAGGTCCTGATCAGCTGCCCAGCACCAGGCTGGAGGCATCTGCTGCCAGTAAAACACGCAGTTACGGGCTGTGCAGTGTCGTGCACTGCTGTAGTGTCCTGGCAGGGATTTTGCCGGTCCAGAGACCCTGGGTGGTTTACAAAAAGCGAAGACTCAGATCACTGAAGTTCATTTTGGCAGTGGGTGACAACAGGAAGAGCCACTCAGCTGTTCCTGCACTCTCCTCTATACCGCAGGGTGCTGCTTGGGGAGTGCGCCCCAGCCTGGCCTCACGAGGTGCATCCCGTCCCTTCCCCATCTCATCCCCATCCCATCCCATCCCATCCCATCCCATCCCCATCCCCGCTGCAGCTGCTCAGGGCGCAGGAGCACAGGGGGCGGCGGGGGCCCTGCCGAGGGCTCAGTGCAGGTGTCTGGAGCTGGAATTTAAGTTCTGGCACAGCTTTTGTTTAAGGGAGAGGTTTCTTCTCTCCGAGATAATTCAGTTCCAACTGGTTAAATCACTGAGTTTTTCTGATGAATTTTAACAAATCAAAAGCAGGAGGCAGGACTGCATGCCCAGAATCATGAGCAGCACAAAGTTAAACCCACGCTTCGCATACAGCTTTGTGTTTGTGTGGACATCACCAGGAAACTTTACATCACCAGAACAATGCGGAGCCTGGACTCAACCTCCCCAAGTGCCGCAGCCACCCAAGCACCTTTGAATTGTTCCAGATGTTCGTAAAGCACTAGAGGTATTTCTAATCAAAGCCTTTTCACCACTGAGTATCATAAATCGAAATCTGGATTATTGCTCGGTGTAATTTGTGAGAAGACTTGTCACACAGAGTATTTTTCTTCCCTTTATTGTAGCACATGCAGGCACTTTTATGGAAAACATAGCTAAGGTTTTAAAAATCTTAGGACTCATGATATAAATAATGATCCAGATGTGAGCTGGATAATCCACATGGTGCTTGGCTAAAGTGGGTCATTTATTGCACCATACATTTTTACTAGCTTTGCTAAACTTTGTCAATTTGTTAGTATTAAGGGTTTGAGAGTTTAAGCCAAGCCATTTATTAAGCTTGGAGAAATCTTCACCTGGTAGTGCTAGCACACACAGGAGGAAAAGCATGCAGATATGCGAAAGAAAACTACTTCACTGTACCTATCGTATTTACCTATCGAGCTTTTAAAAAAGTCAATGCCTCTGATTTTTAAAGATATTTTAATAATGAGGCTTAGGAAGTATCTCAGGTCAAATAAAATAATAAAAAAGTAACAATATAAATGTTAAAGTAGTTGAGTTGGTCCAATACCCACCCCGGAGCACTAAACCAGGACCACAGAAGTCAAAACTCTTCAAAGGTTGAGGAAACAGGAGAAAAGCTTCCATTAAAAGTTTCTGTAATTTGTGCCCTACTCTGCACCAGCAGCAAATTAAATGTGGGGATTTCTCCCCTGCCCCTTCATCCCTGCCAGGGTGAAGGTGCAGCCCCCAGGGCATCCCCAGGCAGTAACTGCACCTCTGTGCTGGTACCCCAATCTCTGGGTAACCCTTTGGGCAATCCTCTTGGTAACTGGGTGCCCACTTCAGTGCTTGGACACAGAACCCCTGTGCCAGGCTGGTTTCTCCATCTCCTCTGCGTGTTTAACAAAGTCTTTTTCCAAGCTCAGACAATGCACCAGAACTGTAAGGGCTGCAGCTGAGCTATGGCAAAGCACTGGCACCACCAGCACCAGCGGCTGAGGAAGAGGAGGGTGAGGACATGGGACATGGAGCTCCGGCTGCAGCCGGCCCCAGCCGGGCTCTCCCGCTCCAGCATTACTCACACCTTCCCACTTGTCCTGCTCGCAGCCATGTGGCAGGAATTCAAGCGGGTGGAGCTTTCTTCCCTCTGGAAATATCTGATAAAAATCCCTTCCCTCCCCCTTTTCCTGCCCCCAGACAGGATATGGGTGTGGGGCTACGGTCACGCAGGGCAGGGGGCTGCGGGGAGCCCCCCCGTGCCAAACCCTGGCTGCTGGACCAGGGCTTCCCTTGGGCTGGGGCCTCTCTGGCAGTGGGTGCTGCTCCAGAGTCCAGCATCCTCCTGGGGACCGAGGTTATGATGTGCAGCCCTCAAAAGGACGTTAAACACGAGTGGCTGCGAGTTTTAAAACTCCTTTTTCCTTCCCTGAGTTGTAATTCTAGGTCTTGGAAAATGCATGAAGGAGAGAAAGAATGCTTTCAAATGATGAGAAAAGATAATTTTTTCAAAAATCACGTTTGGCAGAGGTAAGTATAAAAAAGATTAAAAAACAGAACAAAATGAAAAAAAAAAGTGTTTCTATTAGGTACAAACAGAATATATACACTCTTTTCTATGTCCGTTCTGAGGCAGGCACAGGACAGCTCTCCACGTGGTTTACCAACACCCAATGTGGTCACCGTGAGCCACTGCATGGGGGTCCCAGGCAGCCCCGCGGCATCGTCCCACTCTGCAGGGACAGGCACAAACCTCTCCCATGCTCATTGATCCCCCCAGAACATCAGCAAACCCCAGAACCGAGCATTTCCCATGCGGTTCCCACTCACTGCAGCCCAATCAGACAGTCCTGAATGTTATTTTTCTCAAATAAAACTCTTTTTTCCCCCTTCCTGTAAAATTAGCATAGACTGGAGGGTCAGGCACAACAGCCGAGGTGAGCAACGCACCTTGACAGCAAAGGGAACATGAAAGGAGCATCGTGAAACAGAAGAACAAAATACACAAATTCTCTCAATAGATCAGTTGCTTACATTCGTGTGAGTAAGGAGAAATTACATTTGAGGAGACACCTGCAGGTTCCTGGCTCCTGTCCCAGCACACAGAGTGCTGCTTCACTTTTTAAATCCTCTTTTACTACGTTATGGTTCTTGGGTTTGGGACAAAAATGATAGTATTTCCCTAAAATGTATTTAAAAAGCACTACCGAGAAAAAAAAATCTCTGCATTATTATTCACATTTCATATGATGAATATTTGAAGAGCCGGAATAGGAGATTTTAATATTCATGGAGACTCATTTGATTTTCAGAAAATGTTCAGTTCCTACCACAAAACAAAAGTAAGGGTAATTTATAGCATCACAGTCTGAGAAACAGCTTGAGCTGCGGCTGCACTCTCCAGCTCCGTGTGCTGTGTTTGCACCAGTGGTGTTATCCGGGATGTTATGGGAGCTCTCACACCTTGATGCTCTCCTTCCCACTGTGCTGGGCTGCCCAGGATGCCCCGCGCAGCGCTGCTCTGTAAACTGTCACCGCAGTGGGTTTTTTTTACATTAAATCCCAATCTCCACCCTTTAAAATGCATCCCCCCCATGCTGCCATTCCTGAAGTGACAAAGAAGTTGCCCCATGCACCACTCTCAGCGCCCGTAGCCCTGGCATCGCGCAGCCAGCACTCACCGGACAGCTCCACGACACAGAACGCGACCCAGAAAAGCTGCCGCCACTTCATTATTTTTAA